TTTATTACTCGGCGAATTACAAATTTATTTTCAATAGTTTTTAATTGGAGTTGTAGACTAATGGTGATAGTCGAGAATTTCTATGCTCGAGGACTGAGATTCGATTCCGGTTCATAAGTTACTATTTTTTTTTTTCAATCTAGTTTTTCTTTTGTATTCATCTTTCGCCCATGAAAACATTGTGAATAAAAAATTGTAAAGAAAATTTCTTAATAAAAAAATTTATTTTTTACCCTTTCTTATGCCAGTATATATTTACTACTTAATAATAAGAATATTATGCAAGAAAAGCCCTTTTTTATAGCAATCTTATTTACTAGTAACTAATTATTAAATTAAACATTGTATAAGAATGTTGCCTATAATCCCAACTTTGCTGTGCAGCTGTAAATGTTCACGAATTAATTACAAAAACTTGAAAACTTATTAATTTTCTGCTGCCGGATTGATTCATTAAGGTGTATTATTAGCGCCTAACCAGAAGTGGTATCTAGTTGGAATAAAAATTTTACCGCTTGCGATCAGCGCCATCTATGATTTAGGCTCAAAAATCAAGAAAGTAATAGGAATATAGGATGGGCAAAGAGATCGTCGAAGAGCTGGGCCCCTGGGAGACAAGGACAGAGAGGGAATAGAAAAGGATAGAAGGGCTCGGGCAGTGAAAAATTAATAAATTACTCAATTTCTATAATTAATTTATAAACTTTTATAATTTCATTGCAAAGTTGGAACTTCAGGCTGCATTCTTATATAATTTTCGTAAAGAATTTAACTCTAAATTGTTAGTTATTAATTTTTGAATAATTGCATCTATGATTTCGCGACGGCGACCATCATGATCTTCCGTGAAAATATTTAATTCTAGATGAAACTAGAAGCAAAATGTGATCAAAGGTTATATCAGAGGATTCGCAAGAACATTGTTTTTCTAATGAGTGCATAAAGTTTCATAAATTAATTGTGTAAAGAATAGTATTTAATGAAAAACCAATGGCGTCTTCGGCAACAATTCAAACACTCCGTCGAAAAATAATTAATAACTAATTAATTAGGGACAAATTTATATCGAAAAATATATTGAAAAATTCTTGAAGGATCTGCCTTTACGATACAATTATAAAAGTTCATAAATTAATTGCAGGAATTGAGTAATTAATTAATTTTCTAATGGCGCTGACTGTTCCTTTTTGAATTTTTATTAGAAAATTAATTAATTACTCAATTCCTGCGATTAATTTATGAACTTTTATAATTGCATCGTAAAGGCAGATCCTTCAAGAACTTTCCAATACATTTTTCGATATAAATTTGTCCCTAATTAATTAGTTATTAATTATTTTTTGACGGAGTGTTTGAATTGTTGCCGAAGACGCCATAGGTTTTTCATTAATTACTATCCCTTACGCAATTAATTTATGAAACTTTATGCACTCATTAGAAAAACAATGTTCTTGCGAATCTTCTGATATAACTTTTGATCATATTTTGCTTCTATTTTACGTTGAGTATTAAATACTTTCACGGAAGATCGTGATGGTCGCCGCTACTATATCATAGACGCCATCACATAAAAATTAATAACTAACAACTTAGAGCTATATTCTCTCCGAAAATTATATAAGAATGCAGCCTGAAGTTCCAACTTTGCAATGAAATTATAAAAGTTCATAAATTAATTATAGAAATTGAGTAATTTATTAATTTTTCACTGCCCGAGCCCTTCTATCCTTTTCTATTCCCTGTCTGTCCTTGTGTGCCAAGTGACCAGCTCTTCGACGACCTCCTTGCCTATTCTATATTCCTATTACTTTCTTGATTTTTGAGCCTAAATCATAGATGGCGCTGATCACAGGCAGTAAGATTTGTATTCGAACTGGATTCTAGAAATCAATTGGACAGTAGAAAATTAATAAATTGCCAAGTTTTTGTAATTATTTCATGAACATTTATAGCTGCAGAGCAAAGTTGGAATTAAAGGCAAAATTCTTACACGATGTTTAATTTAATAATTAATACTTACATGAGCAATAGGTTTTGTATTTCCAATAGTAAATAAGATTGCTATAGAAAAGTATTTTTCTTGCATAATATTCTTATTATTTTGTAATAAATATATACTAGCATTAGAAAGAGTAAAAAATAATTTTTTTTATTAAGAAATATTAATTACAATTGTTTACTAACAATGCAAAATGAATACAAAATAAAAAATATATTCAAAAGATTATCAAACCTATGGGACCGGAATCAAACGCCGGTCCTCCACTATGGCAATTCTCGAACGTCGCCGTTACGATACAACTCAACTTCAAACATATTAGAAAGATATGTATAATTAAAAAAGTAATAAAACTTTAATCCAAAATATCTCACAAACTATTGAGTAGTTGCGGCTATAATGATGTATTTTCTTAAACTGCATGACGATATCTACAAAGCTGCAAAGTTTCAACTAAATCGAAGGACTTGCACTCTCCTTGTTAGCTTAATTACTCTTCATTTAAATATCACTTAAACAGATATTGCCAACTTTATGCGCAGCTCTTAGCTTGGTATGGTTTTCCAAAGAAAAATCATTGGAAAACGATACCAATTACCAGGTCTCACCACGCGGAGGTGGCTACGCATCGAGACCCGACATGCGCCCTAGTGGCGCATCCTACTGGCACTACCTGTATCAAAGGTACCCTAATCTAACTTGGAGCGAATTAAGTTAAAATGACTCTACCGACACTTTATTATAATTCGTGTCTTACAAAAGGGGTTTCGGTTCGGTATACTGAAACTCTACTGTCGCAACGCTAAGATATTTTCGAGTTCCCATAAAATAGGGAATGAAATATCAAACACGCGAGCTAATAGAAAATCGCGACGCGCCCGAACGAGTTCGCGATTATTCGAAAGACCGACTAGCCTAGGCGATGTACTCCCGTGTACAGAGATAACTTCATACCTCGGCACCCTCCCGATCGGGCCTAGCTCAATTCCAGTCACTGTCGCACTCGCCAAGACTTACACGTGGACCAAGGATAGTCCCTGAACCAATGAAACTTCTAGTGTCAACGCGAGGGCCCTGCTGGGCGGTTGCCGGCCAAGACAGACACTTCGCATCCCAGCCACACGGGGTAGAACTTAATCATCCCTGTGGTCTAACCGTAGATGGTACTAGTCCGTCAGCCAGCATGTGCCCGAGCCCCAGTCGCGTACGACTTAGGCAGCGGACCGCCCCGTCGAGGTCAGAAGACGCACTGATCCGAGGGGGTCACCCTGGAACCCGATGCATGACGAGATTGACAGTGACTGGAAATGAGTGTCGGAGACGAGTCGTGAGGATGACTTACGAAGCATGTACTTATCGAGTACACGAGAGCACGTCGCGTAGGCTAGTCGGTACTTACGAACGATCGCGATTATCGCGAGAACAATTATGTTCTATTTGCTAAACGAGGGGGATAAGAAAATGATAGAGAATTTATAAATTTCGCTCCAAGTTAGGTAGCTTACCTTTGTACAGATAGCGCGCACATGATACTTAGTCTATGGATCTATCTTATGATTACTTAAAAGTAAACGCACGCATCGTTCATTGATGTGTCGCAAACAGAATCTTGAGAAACCTAAAAGCTAAAACAGAATATATTATTGTTAATATATAGCTGAAAGGAAAGGGATTAGTACGAGGAAACCATCAAGGATAATAACCAAATGGAACGAGCAAGCCAACGACGAGACCTGAGCAACATAACTACGAGACAGAAACATTCCAACGGTGAGATATAAACATACCAACGAGGAAGCGCTCGAGTATTATACGAAATACTCGAACGCTCTAACGAAAACAAATCGAACGGAAGTCGTAAAATTTGTGAAAGGAAAGATTTAGCCAACGATGAGACATAAGTAAACCAACGACGAAGCATTCGAATATTGTACCAAATACTCGAATGCACAAACAATGAAATCTATAATAAAAGAAATAGAATCTGAAAGAAGAAAAATAATTAAAACCTGAAACGAAAAATAATTAGTACCTGAAAGAAAGAATTATTGTTAAATTATTTAAGAGAGTGGACAATGGATACTGAATAGCCATTGATCTAGCCAACGATGATGTACAAATAAACCAACGACGAAGCATTCGAATATTGTACCAAATACTCGAATGTACAAACAATGAAATGTATAATAAAAGAAATAGAATCTGAAAGAAGAAAGATAATTAAAACCTGAAACAGAAAATAATTAGTACCTGAAAGAAAAAATATTAACGCGCACCCTCCGAAGTTGAACCGACAACTGGCTCGAGCCATACGCGGGCCCCTTATATAGCGGCGGCCGGCCGTCCGAAAATCGGCGAAAATTTCCGAACTTTACCGATTCCTTTAAAAGTTACTTTTTCGCTGTAATAACTAATAATTTATTAACTTTTTTTACTTTTATCGTTAATATACTTTGCAAACTATTTGTTATCAATGATTTTAATTTGTTATTAACAATAAATTTATTAACTTATTAACTTTTAGACTTTTTGTAAGTTCCGAATATATTCTAACACAAATACGTCGTTTATTTAAATAGTAGGTAATAATTTATTAACTTTTTTTACTTTTATCGTTAATATACGTTGCAAAATATTTGTTATTAACAAGAAATGTAGCAATTTATTAACTTTTGGCTAATTATAGATACATTTTCACGCATATACGTTATATATACTAATAATAGCCTATAATTTAGTAATTTTTCCATTTGTATTATAAATTTACGTTGTGACCAATTTGTTATTAAAAATATTAATTTGTTATTAATAATAAATTTGGTAATTTATACAGTTTTTATAATTTATACATTGGTTAGTTACATTTTCAGTATTTTGTATATAATACATATTTCATCTTTTACCAGCTTTTTTATACTTCATAAGTTACTAATACTTTTGTTTTTTTTGTAATTTCATTCTAGGAAATTTATCACAGAGGTAGTGGTAACTTTGAAACGTTTGTTAGTATTTTCTTGTGTAATATATTGTGTTGATTGTTGATTTTTGACGAATAATTTGGGAAACGAATAATTTATACTTTGCAATTATAATATTTATATAATTAAGAAAAATGGCAGATGATGATTTTGATGGAGACGAGTATGTAATTTATTTAAATGTATAATTGTATGCAGTAAACATCTCTGTACTTGTTTCTTCGTTTTATAATAAAAATTTACTGTCATTAAGAAAGTAAATTATAAATATTACTATACGAATAATTTTTTAAGGATAATTATTTGATAAAAGATTTCTATCATTCTATTAGGTTTATGTATTTTATGTGAAAATGAATATAACCTAACGTTGTTAGGTTATATTAAACCACAGGAATAGTCTTAATTATATAATACGGTTCTTAAACAATGAACATTCATGATACATATTAACGTCAAGTTAAAATTTTCATATTTAAAGGGTAGCAGATGATTTTGATGATGTGGATGATGATGATAACATTGAATTAGAACCTCAGGAAGAAGATGGAGAAAATATAGAGTTACATGCAGCAGGTGAAACTACTGGTGGAGTACAAAGATCTAAAAGAATTACAACAAGATATATGACAAAGTGGGTAATCTTAAATAAAAGTTTTTAATTATAATGTGGATAAAGTATATCAATTATATATGAATTATAGATATGAAAGAGCAAGGGTGTTAGGAACGAGAGCATTACAAATAGCTATGTGTGCTCCTGTGATGGTGGAATTAGAGGGAGAAACTGATCCATTACAAATTGCAATGAAGGAATTAAAACAAAGAAAAATACCAATCATAATTAGGCGTTATCTACCTGACAACAGTTATGAAGATTGGGGTATAGATGAATTAATCATAATAGATCATTAAATTGTGTTTCATTTTGTATATTTAAAATATGAATTTGAAGTAATTTAAGAAATATTGAAACTTATTGTATCTATATTATTTTTGTCTTTATACAATTGTTTTAATAAAAAAAGATTACTAAAAATTATATTTGTATATATATTTTTGTAAATATACCTTCCAAAGAGAAAAAAAAATATATTGAGCATATATGCATTCAATAAAATTGATTATATTTATACGCATGTATATAATTTTACTTTATTTAAAACTGCAATCAATATTAAAATTAAGATATTAATAAAGGTTCGAAAATATTCTATTAAATTTAAATTGACAAATAATAAATTGTATCTTAGTGCATGATTTATTAACACGTTATCTATTAATAAACTGAATAAAGATTAATAAAATAAATCTAATAAAATGTAAAGTTACGTGGATTATTTCATCCTGAACTTTATCTATTCGGTTCGAGATAATCGAGATAATATTCTGAAATGTGGTATACGTCACTGGAATGTTTTCTTAATTAATAAACGCAATAATTCGTTTTCGGACAACAACTTTGATTAGTTATATATAATATTATGAATATTTTTTAAATTTTGATAATAATACTATGTGGTAAATAAGTGACATTGTTCAAAACAGTTTGTTAACCTAATATAATATCTCTAAATAATGTAATATTCACAGGAATCCTTTGAAAAAAAATCACTTGACACAAAGGCCTACTCCTGCACCTCCTCTACTATCTCAATCAGAAGACAGAAACTTGGATATTGCAGTTCAAAGACTTATTTAGTATGTATATTTGTTGATGTAATTGTATGATATTATTACTGTAATTATATAAAAGTTTATTTGCTGTTCAAGCGTTGAAGATACAATCAGAAAATTAACTAAGGAAATGAAAAGATATATAGAAGCCGTAGTGAGCTTGGATAGAGCAGATCAAAGATTGACATTAAATCTAACATCTTGTGGTTTAGCACATTTCAATGATGATTTCAGAACAGTAGTAGAAAACTACCATTCAGTGACAACACAGGTAAATTTATAAATTACTTTTATATCATAAGAAATACAGTATAATAGGTTTGTATTTTCATAGATTGGAAAAACTGTGCAAGAAATGGCAACTCTTTGTCAGAAAACTTTTATAGAACCCTTAAAAAAATTACGTGATGAATTTATTTTAATAGCTGCAGCAATAGCCAAACGCGAAGAGTTGGTAACTACTTGGAAAAATTCTTATAATCGTGTTAAAAAATTGAAGGAAAAAAAAGATAGAACTGCTAATCATATTGTAAAATTAGAAAGAGAATGCAGAGCAGAGGAAGCAGCAGCTAAGGAGTTGAAGACTGTACATTCTCAATTACTTATAGAACTACCCATGTTTTTAGATAAAAGATTAGAGTATATTAAACCTAGCGTACACGCGTTGATCATGATACAATTGGATTACTACGGAAGTGCGATGCATTTATTCACACATTTTATGTCGGTACCAAATAGTTCGGAGTCATCGCCCAGTGCAATGATACGTGAAGACGAATACCAACAAGCAATTGAAAGTCAAATGAATAGAATAAGATCTCTTACAATTGTTAAAGATAAAGAATCATAAAAATTTTTGTCAGAACCAATTTTTATGATATTGACATAGGTACGAATATATTTATCAAATGGCAGTATTTACAATCATATTGTAAAATTATAGATAGATTTATGATGAAACCATCCCTTGATTTCGTTTCCACTGGGCACCAGAACGACGATTGTGATTGGCACGTTTTGCTTTTTTGGTATTCTTCTGCTGCCTATTATATAAGACATCTTTCTCCTGTCCTTGACCTTTAGGTTTACCTGTACATAAGGAAATTAGGTTATTTTGATACTGTATGGATAAGCATCATTAATAATACATGTTACATTTATCTATAACGATTAGATTACGTTGAACGTTGTATAAATCTTGATAAACATACCAATTACATTTGATGCAACTTTCCCACCTCGCATTTGTCTTCGTTGCTCCGCTCTAGCACGTATCTCTTCTGGATTTTGTACAAAACAGTCTTTTCCATTTTGATCATTCCCCACATCTTCGTTTTCTGATTCTGAATCACTTACGACTTCAATCTTTTGTTTTTCACGAAGGACCTAAAATTATTATTTATTAATTTTTAACAAAGTACATTTTAAATAACTGAAATAAATACAAACTCTTGGTATAGTAAAAGGTCTTGAATCTATTTCAGTCGAATTATCGTGTGTGTTCCCACGTATGTCACGATTGTCATACGTATCATCATACTCATCGTTGTAAACGTCTGCAACAAGGCTGTAACTGTAACAAATTCCGTTTTAGTAATTCTATATACAACAAATTGAAATAATTTAATTTTTACAAATATTATCGAATACGGCTATTATACGTAAATAATTGTTTTTTGTACATTATACATGTGATTCAGAACAATTATTTCTTAATTCTTACTTTTTAATTATATAATCAGTAGCTATTGGTATTGTTTCTTCAGTTTTCACATAAACATCATCATCATCATCATCGTCATCATCGTCATCATTTTCATCATCATCATTGTCATCATTGTCATTATCATTATGACTATCGACCATCGAATTTTCATTAACTGAAACCTCCTAGGAAAATAACAAAAACACGTACTTATAGTATTTAATATATTAATTTTTGTAAAATATTTTAAATAATAAAATGCTCGTACAGTATAAATTGGCGTTGCACTAGGTATTTGTGACGGTCCTAACTCCTTTAATTCTTTTAATTTCTGCGGTAATGAGTTTTCTAATACGGCATTTATCACAGCTGCAGTGTCATAATTGTAATACTCCAAACTTATCTGTGAAATAAATATTGTTGAATGTACATATGGAATAATTTTTCTACAACAAGATAATTACCTCAATGAAATGTTCATCTAAATCATATAAGATATCTTTAACTTCAGAAACAAGGGATGCAAATTCAACAGAATTCTTCATCACAGAAATTTGGTTCTTATTTGTAGAATCTATATTTTTAGATGTAGCTGTTTGATTTATACCACTAGGTCCAGCAAATTCAACAGAATTCTTCATCATGGAAATTTGATTCTTATTTGAAGAATCTACATTTTTAGATGTAGCTGTTTGATTTGAAATACCACTGGGTCCAGCTGTAGCTTCCTATATAAAAATAATGTTATATACAACTTTCGTCAAAATATTTTACAATTTCTTCAAACTTACATTTACATTGTTAGAAAAGCTAGTAGATGGGGTGCCAGGGTTTCCAATAATTGCATTTACTGACTGCATTATGTAATCATATTTGATTGTATCACTAAATATATGTTAAGTATAAAAAGATTTATTATATATTAATTCTTCAATTATTACGATTATGATGACACTATGTTTAAAAAAGGATACAAATCAGGACAAATTTGTGAAAATACAATCAAATCTAATTCAATAGGATAAAACTGAACATAATCTGTAATGAACTCTTTTTCAGAAATTACATTGATTAGTAAATTAAGATATTCATCCACCCGTTCCTTCAACTCTGCTTCTTTTATCGAATTCCTAAACGCAATATTATAATTATATTCGAATGTTATACAATGAATTTTATATATAATATACATATTCATTTAAAGTTTACAAACTTACAAATTTTCTTGGATATTTGACACTGGTTCGTATATAATAATACGAAAAAGATTTATAATTTCAATTCTTATTACATCCAGACGATGCTTCAGTTGTACATATTTCGGCATATTTTCATCGTTGTTTGCTAAGTTATCTAATATTTTATACATCTCAGGTATTGTGTTTTCATATACTAAAACAAGTCTAATAAATGTTAAACAATAAAATGAATTGTTAAAGTCATTTAGAATATATAAGAGTATTAATTTAATTACTTACTTATTCATAAAATCCTTTTTATGAAATATACTAATTGCAACATGGTAATTTTTTAAGAACACATTAATGGTTGATGATATATCTAAAACACATAATATCATATCTTCCAAATGAACTAATGTAATTTTTGTTGAATTAGTATTCTGTTTTGACAATGAGACAGTTTCATTGGTGTGAGTAGAATAGCCATCAAACTGTGCCTCAACATTTTCAAGAACCTAAATTGATAACATATACATTTAATTCCATTCTGATAAGACTAAATTTATTCTATTAAGATCATTTTATTTATATTAATACATTACCTCTACAAGATAAGGAACAGCTCTCTGAAGATCATTATAGTACCTTGGTTCTAATGTAAATAAACAATTTAAAATTCTCTTTATTACTTTTCCATTATCTCTGCCATAAAGTTGACAGAGATCAAAGATAATAGGTACCGTGAATATGTACTTCTCATACAATAAATTTCCAAAAAATGGACGGTTCATAAATTCCTTGGAGCTTTCTTTATTTGTGACAAGTCGTGTAAACACTACAAGTACATAGCGACTTAGTGTTTCTAAAAGTTCCAACATTTCTGGAGAATTTGGGAAATTTTCTAAAGCATAAAATGGTGGTGCTTCTTGTAGAAAAGATACCAATGTATCTAATATCGAGGTATTGAATACAATGTTTGACCAAAACCTAAATAAAGAATACATAATAATAAAGATGTTATATAAAAAACATATATATATAATATATATACTTCTGATATCTTGAATCTGCTAATAATTATGATATTTTAATGTTACAATTTAATATTGTTTTATGCTATTGATATTATTGACTGTGCTTACTTATAAAATGGAAGACCAAGTAACCATTTTAAATCATTAATCATATAATTGACAATTTCCATCCAACGCTGTTTTGCTCCCGTAATTTCAAATCCATCATCATTGTATATATCAGGTGCTTCATAACTTAAAAAATAATGGTCACTTGCCCATCTCTTACTCTAGAAACATAAAAATAAAAAAACATTCATACTAAAAGTTGTACAATTTACTTATTTAAAGTTCATCTAGTATCAGTTGATATATTCACAGACATTTTACTATTTACACACTTACCAAAGCTTCAACATCTTCAATAACACCACCAGTTTTAATCTTTAGCTTTAGCTCCTCCAGCGGTAGAAGTTCGGGATTCTAGTAAACAAATAAAAACATTACGCAAGTTTATAACGAATCAGATTATTTTAACCTTCCATATCAATCAATGATTTCATAACAAAACGTAAATAATTGGAAATTAATTACCTCGTAAAGCTCCATGTTTTCATGCGATACATTTTCCGTCATAGATACTATTAATTGTTACTAAACACCTACAATCACAATAAGCTAATTGTTAAACAAATTATAATCACAATACACACGTGGCAAATACGATCCACCTTTCAATAACTAACCTACCTGTATATAACAAATATCGCAAAAAAGATTGAAGCCGGGTGATTTTAAAGAACAAGTGTTATGGCCTTAGTAAGTCATCGATGACATCAATGAAGGTTTTGATAGTTATTTGACAGAATTTAAATCTTCGAGGTTTCGAAGGTTATGTTTTGGACATATCCATCGTGTAATTGCATCGCTATCGTACCTTTTAAGTTTTTATGAATTAAATAGTTTACAATTTGATATTTTTGTAGAATGTCTAAAGATACAAAATTTTTTGTGAGACCAAAAGTCAGATTTTGTCAAACTGATGCCGGCAAATCGACAACAAAAGAGTTAAAAAATTCGATTGATCAAAAAACTGTTAAGCAACCGAACAAACCAAAAATTAAAAGTATTGTAACATTAACTAAACCCGTGAAATTAGTAAAATTAAATGAAAGATCTGATAATTGTGAGAATAAAAACACAGGGCTTGTTAATAATATATCAAGTCCAAACTTATTATGTGCTAATACACTTCCTCCTTGCATAATTGAAACTTCTTCTGGGAAAGAAAATCCTATCAAAGTGGAGAATCAAATTCCATTAAATGATGCTAATAATATTCAGAATATTAAAGCAAATTCTAAAGAAATTGCTATGCCCAAAACTTCTATTAAACCTCTAAGCAATGATGTAATAGCCTCTACAGATTCTTCGATCGAACAAGGTGAAAATATAAAAAAGATACTTAAATCTGAAAATGGTTACAAAAGTAATAGTCTAAAAAAAGATTGTATAAGAGGTAACAAAGAAAAAGAGAATGGAGCAACAGTTGTTAAAAGGGATATTAAGACTTCAACTATAAAATCCTCAGATTTAGACATTTTAAAACATAAAAATAGACTTTGTTCTGTTAGCACTGCTACAAAAAAGTCAAATGTTACAAATAAAGTACCTCTCTCAAGTACAATTAAAAAGAATGTTAATTCAAAATCTGTTGTTAATGTTATGCCATGTTATAAATATAGTAAAAGTGTGCCCAAAATTAAAGGCCCTTTTGTTAAAAAAACTATGATAAGGGATATAATTGGTCCTAAGATAAAGCCTTATATTGGCCCAGGAAAACCATGCAAGCAGACAAATAATTTAAAAATTCCAGAAAATGATGAAAACACCCATTTGAAATCAATTATTTCTGGAGAAAAATTAGCAAGACCAGAATATAATTCAATTATCTGTACAATCAATAAATTAAATGAAATGAAGCAGCAAAAAGTTATAACTGATATAGAACATTTACCAGCTTCATATAAAAATCTTATAAATGCAAAGGTACTGAAAAAAGTGTTATCTTACAATAATATTGGAAAATATTGTCCGATGTTCTTTGTTTCAGGTTTCTACTGCTTTAGATTTTCCCCTTGATGAAATAGTTTACAAGAATTTGGTGGACTTATCTATAGATGACAATCAATTACCAAGTAGATTAATTCGTAGTAAGGATCCAGAACCACAACAAAAGGATGTTATACCAAAACTCTCTGATTTTTTTACACCTATATCTACAGATGAGTATTGTACTCCTGTTTCTATAAAACCACGATCTGTAGAAACTACAGATAATTGGAGTGCTTTTAGAATAAGTGATCAAATATGTGAATGGAAACAGAATTTAGATCTTGTATAATTGTAGTAGATGCTTTTGTTTTATGCATAACTTATTTATTAATTATTATTTGAAAAACGCTGTCTTTGATAGATGTATCTTTTTGTAAAATGTAAAGTATTTTTTATAATAATACTCATTGGGTAAATTGTCTAATAGATATTTTGTAGAATTTATATGTTATAACATGTAAACATATTATAAATGAATATGTACAATAAATTGTTTAATATACATATACATATGTCTCATTTTCTTATGTGAATATATCATTTTTCATTTTACAAATTGTATGAAGCACCAAAGATATTATTATTATATGATGCATGTATAAAATGGAAAAGTAATATAAGTTCATGCTATACTTAGACTGAATGACAATTATGTCTTTTAAGAAGGATCATACTAATAAAAGTTAAGCTGAATTTATACAATAATAAATTTCAATTTTCCATTTTCATACACAATAATAATATTTACGATATCTTTCTTCATAAGCTGATGTACTTATTTTCTAATAATAATGTATAATCCACTTACTTAATTGTTCATGAACTTAATAGATGAAACAGTTGAATATAATAAATGCAATTTATCTACTAAAGGGATTCAGGTTCTTATTATAATCATCATCGTCGTTATCCCTAAAGGGATTCTTCGTGTCGTCATCTTTAAAGGGATTCGTATCGTCACCTTTGAAGGAATAAGAGTCGTCATCATCTTTGTCTTCAGCAAATGGATTTTTTGATTCGTCGTAGTCTCCTGTTGCGAATAAATTGGACGGGACTATCGATGTTTTTGGTGGTACGTAAGATTTCTGAATCGGTGATGATTTCGGTGTTGTACTATTACTAGCTGTATCAGAGATATTTACTTCTAATGACGAAGAGTAAAGATCTGTTTTTGGAAAAGATCGCAGTCGATCATCCGTTATTGTAAAGAAATCGTGACGACGAATTTCAGTTTTTCCTAGAATAAAATATTTGATTTGAACTAAGAATATTAATATATCTTGGAAAGTAATAAATTGATCGAACAAAATATTATTTACCTAATGTACTATTTTTATCCATTAATTTAATTCTAGCCTCCACGTCTGGTCCATAAGTTAATTTTGGTTCCTCAAATTTCATTGATAACGATTTATCGCTATCAGTGATTACCATTAATTTTTTGAAAACTCCGCGACCAAAGTAATCAGCAACTAACGAAAATGGATCTTCTGCTCGATCTAACAGACTGTGAAATGTATCATGAAGATCTCTTGATTGTTCCTGTGCTCTTATGATATCCAATAATTTTTTATTGTTTGGTAAACAAGCTGGACATTCATTTTCGTTTTCCGAGAATCTTTGAAAACAGCTAGTAGAATGAAGACACATTACAATACCTTACAAAAATGTTACTACATAGGACATTATATAAAGTTTAAACTCACTGTTGATGATACGAATGTTGACACATAAAATGTACAGATGGAAGTTCTAACTGATGATGACAAGCACTGCAACGTGATCCTTGGAAGATTATAATATTGTTTCTAAGTGATTCTATTTGTTCGCGTATTTTTTGAGTGTCTGCTCGATATTTTTCGATTAGTTCTACATCGGCTTGGGTTTGCTTAAGTTCCATTTGTAACACACTGTTTAGATAAGTTCTTACATCTCCCAAGGTACAAGAAAGTGAAGTAGAAATTGCATCAATGACCATCAATGGTGACAAAAGCTTCTCTTGGACTATATAAATTTTTTTTTTTAAATTACATAATATGCTATGTCATTGAAAAAGTTCAATTGAATTTATAATATACCTATGAAAACTAGTATGTCTGCAAGAAGCTTAGTCGAGGCTTCTTTATTTTTTGCAATACTCCATAAAGCTTGAACCCATAAATTCGGATCTTGATGTCCGAATCGTTTGCATGCAGCTAAAATCTGCTCACTATCTCCTTCACGTAAATGGAATTGTAATATCTCTTGGTATCTATATATGACACATAATAATATCATTAATAATATCAAATTTCAGAATGTTATATCTAATGGATGAGTTACTAGTACCTACAATTTGCTTTCTTCGTAAAGGAAAAGTAAACCGCGCTTAAAATTATGTTGATGACATAAGATTAATATTTGATCTTTATCGTAACACGCTTCCGAATTTTGTAAGAGTCGAATAATTTTCTGTTCGCACTGTATTTTTGCCACATCATTGTCTAAAGCTGACCAAACATGGAGATAGTGTTCTACTAAAGTGTTGTATACTAAAGTACTCCACCTGTGCATCAAAATATACAACTTGTAGAATGCAAATTATGTTTGATTTTTTCATATCTATATCGATTTACTAACTTGGTACAAGTTTTTACGAGATGTTCTAAGAATTCTACAAGACGTTCCGAATTATTTAAAAACAGATGAATAAAATCTTCTGGATTCGCTTTATCGATATGTTGGTCCACTGTACCGTCTAATGCTTCCTAAATAAAATAAATTATTACGATTAATTGTTTGATCAAATCTATTATTACTTCATTATTCAATTTTACCTGGTCAACAAGTGGTTTATTGGAAGGTCTATAATTGGTACATAAAGTTTTTAAAAATTGTGTTGCATCATCTGGCACATTTTCTATGAGAACATTGGCATATTTCTTCATGTTGGATTCAGCCTACAAATTTTTGTAAAATTAATCGAATGAGTTGAATTTGGAAGCTATACAAACGTACTTCTTCAAATTCCAATGTTGCTATATATTCTAATGCTTTCTGGTACTCGTGATTATCTTCTATTTGAATACGAAGATACCATTCATGGTGGCCATGTTTTTGAGCAAGTAGCAAAGCATCTTCCGGCGAAGCTTGACGGCAAACTTTTATTGCAATTTCAACATCGAAATCAATCTTTCTATCTTTCGTCTAAAATTATTACACGATATAACATAATCATACAAGTTATCAATTAATTTTGTATAAAAATTAGTAGTTATTATTATTCACCATGATGAATTCTTTTAATTTATCCGTCTGATTTAGCTTCGTGTAACAATTTAATAACAAAGTTGTATGGTCTCCCGTTGCCTGCCCATTTTTATGCAAGGCTTGCAAATAAGTCGTTAGATTATCTATATGCTGAGAATCTAAAAATTTTCTAATTACGTACGATGGTTCTAATTTTCCGATAGTTTTAATATATTGTTCTATTGCTCCATTATGATCTCCTTTTGAATATAAGTGATCACCATATTGTCTAAATATATCGACAAGTCCTTCGGCATCATATTTCTGATTTTTAGCTATTCTAAAAATAATGTAATATTAAATTATAATTGAAACGTTTTCTATAATTTTGATTAAAGATTTCATGATCTACCTGATATATACATCATATAAGTTTTTCCTAAAAAGTATTGCTAATTTCGATTGCAGATCTTTTTCATCTAGGTGATAAAGTTTACTGTCACCACTGAGAATGAAAAATCCACCCCATTCTGACACCACAGCTTGCACAGACAACATTGGAGCAGAAAATACAATGAATTTGTTCAATATATCAAGAACTGTAATCATATGCTTATCTACTCCTGGAGGTATTGGCTCTATAGTACTGAAAACATATACACTTTGAGAATTTGTTCTTACTTTCTACTTTTACATAACGACTATGAACATGTAAAACATTCTTACCTTGGTTTCGCAGAAATAGTAATTGTTGTTCTTGGAACATTAGCAGCTTCTTTTGCTATAATAACTAGATAACTTCTGAACCATTCTAACATCGTTTTTTGTCCCTCTACAGCATAACAAGGGCCTCTACCATCTGGTGTGTAACAATAAATTGCCTAATGTAATACAAATTTATCGATTAAAATAATATTTAATACAATGTATATAATGGAATTTTATTAATGTTATTACATCATTACGACCAATCATGAAATGACTATCTTGCATAGATTCTGCAAGAACGCTACATTTTCTGGCACAACCCATAGTGTCTAAGGGAGATTTGAATTCTTTATCTTTAATAGTAATATTATACAGGAATACACTATTTGGTGTAGCAACAAATAAATAAGTTTGTTTGGCAGTAGACCTTATCGCTAAACCGGTAATAGTAACATTGGTATCTTTCAACACTTTTATCTTGTTCTTTCTTTCTCTAGTTAAGTCACCCCTAAAGATTCAAAAACTGTACATTAAGAATTGTTTAAAAATTACAAAATAATTATTATCAAATTTACTCTTACCTATATAGCATAATAGAACCATCTTCAAAACCAACAGCCATTAATGTTAGACTAGTATGTACGCATAGAGTAGTTGCAGGAACTGCTCTGTAACTTGGTATGGCCCTACTTATACAGACACACGTTGGATTGCCTTGTTTGTCCAGTTTAGCTACATTCCATACCTTTATGGTAGGATTACAACCTTGTTCATCCTCCTAAACAATATATTTTTCATTCTAAGAAATAGTTTTTCTACAAATGCATAGCAAGATACTGCAACGATACTAACACCAATTGTAAACAAAAATGTGGAATGCTGAACTTGCTGAGCTAACGTTAACGTGAGGTCGTAAGCGCGAAAAGTAGTAACTTCGTAAGCTCTGTTCACTAAATGTAGATTGCCTGTATTATCTCCGAACACTAAATTTCCGTTACCACTCGTAGCTGCTGTCACTTGGGCGTCCTAATCAACAAATTATGTGATATACATCGAGGATATTTTAACCTATATCCGAATATCATATTGAAAAATATCGGAATGGTGTCAAAGGTAACTCACGCCAAGTGCTGCAGCTATTTTTCCATCGTCGACTTCTTTTTTAAGATCGAAAAAATTGCAGCGCCGCCACTGAAAAATAAATATATTCGTATGAGAGAGCCGAAAGTGAGGTTAAATACAAAACACGAATAAACATTGTATAAAATATGTCTGAAAAATGTGAAATCAACCTCGAGAAATGCCATTATGTATTGCAACTATCTATTTACACATTTGCAACCAGATATCGTCGACGTAGCAAATAAACAGTGAATCAGGTCTACTTCTTTTGGCAATTATCTGACAACAGGAACAGCCAACTGCACAAGTGCCATTTGTACTCGATGAATCGACTATAGCATATCTTGGACTACACGCATGCGCAGGGTATTCTCTGTTATACCGATAGTAGTACCGATACTACAGTTTGCGGTATCTTCTCCGAGATGTCGCTGCAGAATTATTCAGAATCATGCGCCATCTGTGTACGCAATTCAATTTACAAATTAAATATTTGGCATTATTTAAAATAATTTTAAAAAAGGTCATACTTTTTCTGTTCTATTCTTTATTACCTTTAAAATTTAATCTGTCAATTCTCCAATTTTACAGAAAATAAATATTCACCAACATCGTTAAGAGAAAAGAGAGGAAAAAAAGAAAAGATAAAGTAGCCATCTTCGTTGGAAAAAAAAAGAAAATTATCGAATTAAAATATCCTTTATTATCTCGTCATTAAAATAATCCTCTCCTCCAATTTGAATCGGAATGAAAGCGTATCTAAAGGTATTCCGAAGCGGAGATCATTTGGACAGGAATCATGAAACACTTAGCAAACGCAGAATGTCGTAGCAGTTCCTTCGACGTTCCCTTTCCTTCCAAATCTATCAAAAAGTTTCCAAATTTCATTCGTCGAAAATCCCAACGAACTGCTGCGACTTTCCGGATCGCCGATCTCGTTTAGTAAGACGTAAGTTTTGTTATATTTGTTAAAAAGGACGAACAGTTAGTGTCGATGATGGGGGGGTTGGGGCTTGTTTTACAAGGTCTGTCTGCTTGAGACAGAGGGGATCAAGAAGAAATGGTCGCGAAAAACTCTGAAAATCGATTATGAATACAACGCCAGTTTCATTTCTCGCGATATTACATCGTCGGTCGATCAAGGACCAAGAAAGACGCATCTGCCATTCCTTATCCCTCTGTAGTCCCTTTTATAATCCGTTAAATTTCTCCGCAGATCGTCGTTCTTCGTCCTCGATGGGAACTCGGCGCGGCAATCAATGAGACTTCGTTTTCGCGAAATTCGTACAGAAAAGCGTTTACCTGGAACTTTTGTTCATCGACGACTTTATAAAGACTATCTCGAAACCTTTGGATCATCGCGAAGAATCCGGTTCCTTGTACGAATTTCGTTCCACGTGGACACGAGCTTCGCCACATCTCCGTCACCTCCGCGTTTCCGTTCTTCTATTTTTGTTTTCCTAATTCTTTGTACCGTTGTCATGTTCGCGTTGCAAAGAAAACGAATAAACGCGCGGTTCCTCCTTCGTTCGGTCTGCGATTTCTTATTTTCGGGACGAGCAACGTTCCATTCTTCGCCTTCTCCCTGTTCTCTTAATTTTCCCTCGATTTTTCCGCAACTCGTTCGTTCGCTGCCAATAGCTGGAACGATGATCGTCGCTTCGTTGTATCACGTTCGTGCGTACACGCAGACGGTTATCAATTAACGGAACGAGGTCTCGTCACTGGTCCTCGTTTCACGATCTACCTATCCTCGGGAAAAACTCTGCGTGGCTGCCGATTTCTCGGTATCGTTACAGGGATCGGAAAATTAGCGGATATCACGATTTCTATGCGTTTCAACGACGAGTTCTTGCGCGTGATGTCATTAGGGGGATGAAACTGTTAGCATAGGCGTAGACTGCGACACGGTGAACCCGGAGGATCGTTGATCTCTCGATGTCCAGGCTCTTCGACGTCGCGGCAATTTCGCTTTGGCCACTGTCACGAGGACAAATCCGCTTGTATCTCAACCAAGAACGCGATTCGTCCAAGTTGGCTGCTTTTCGGATTACCGGAGGATCGAGATTCAAGGATCATGGGGGGTTTCGTCGTTACAAAAATCTCCTCTCATCGTTTCTCTTTTCTCTCTTTTATTAAGACGTCATTCCCCTCGGGAGCGCCGCTGGTTTTTCACGAATTTTATTAAGGAAAGATCGTTACATGCACAGTGGCAGACGGACTGGAGCGGAATTCGCGCGAATATCTCCTTCGGTTATTAAAATACCTATGAATTTAGAATAGAACCATCGGTGGTTGGCGAATGTTCCCGACGTCGAGGGAGAAGCGAGGAGATTCCTTGTCGCGTCATCGGGGTGTTCCTCGATGTTCCGTAATTTCCCTAACGAGCATCGGATTACCTCTGAATCGCGAATCCACCGGTCGCAGTCCACGCTGCTTTCCTTTCTCTTCTACGTAATTTATAGTAACAGTTAACTGTAATAATTGCAGCCTCTTCTCCTCGCTCTTCGGCGTATCCTCGACGAATACGTCGCTGTGAAATACCGCGAAGCTCGAATCCCGATAACCGTCAGTCGCTGCGCGCGCCTCGCGCCAGGCTTCCGCCATCTTGCGGTCCGTTAACTTCGAAACCTTGCCGCGCGCTCTTTCGTTTTATAATTCGCTCTCGACAGTGAAAGGAAAAGTATCGCTAATAATACACCGAGGTTGACTAAAATCTACGCCTGTGAGATTATCGAAAGTTACCGAAAATATTCCACATCGATGTTACGAGGATTTTACATGGCGCGTTTAAACGAACACACAGAAAGCACCGCCCCTTGCATTTCGCGATATTTCACAGCGGTATTAAAACCGAACCAGTCAATTTCTCTGTGCTTTCAAATCACTCCGTTCACTTTTCCTCTCTCCTTCTCTCCCCTCTCTCTCTCTCTCTCTCTCTCTCTCTCTCTCTCACTCTCTCTCTCTCTCTCTCACTCTCTCTCTCTCTTACTCTCTCTCTCTCT